AATTAACCTTAGGGAATGTTTTTTTAAATAATGGAGAAGAATCAAAGAGTAGTCAAATATGGTAGAAAATCCTGGGTGACTGTGAGTTTTTTTTTTGTTTTTTTCCCTCTTCAAGTAGCTCTCTTTAGTAGGAGAGGGCATAATATTGACTTGGGTTAGTTAATTCTGGTTTCAAATTTCCCCTTTATCACTTACTTGGCAGTATTTAACTTTTTCAGAGTGTTTCACTGTTAGAAAATAGGAATTCAGGGTTGTGAGGATTACATAAAATAAATAAATAAAGCACACTGGTTGTGACATAGAATTTCCTTAACTTCATTAGCAGCTTCCCTGTAACTTCAAGTATGGATAGCAATGGAATATTTGTTTAACTTTATGCCTCTGTTACATTTTTCTCCTTCCTTTTGCTTCCACTTAAAAAAAAAAAGACAACTGCTTTATACCTTCAGTTTATACTTTTTCCTTGTCATTCCTTCCATGACTAATGTGCTCTGGCATCTACATTTATCATTCTATGGAAGCTCTTTATCAGCTTTTAGTGGCCATTGTTCTGTCAAATTCGGTGACCCATAGAATCATCCAGAAGTAATCCTTCATAATGTGACCTTCTTGTCTGCTGAAACAATGTATTCTCCTAGTTATTTTTCTTATTGACCTTTGCATGGATTGTACTATTTATGCTTCTGAGAGTTTGCTCAAAGACAGTTTCTTCCTATCTATAATGTGCTCAGGTAGGTATTAGCCATCGTATAAGGCCCAACTACATGAACATTTCCACAATGATTGTGGCCTACATTAAACATACCCTTACCTGATCTGTTATACCATCTGGATTTAGGTACTTTCTTGTACTATTTTATTATTTTTATTTATTATATCTTATATTATTTTTATATATACTCCTGTTGTTTTCCCAGTGCGTGTATAAGTACCTTGAAGACAGAGACCATACTTTTTTCTTTTCTTGAATATACTGTTGAACATATAATAGCTACCTGGAAATAAAATGGAAACAGATTGAGCTCTGAGTTAGTATTGTTGTATAAACAAGAATCATCTCTGTAAGATCATACTTAAATTTCATTTTAAAATCGCAGTTAGTGTTCATCTTTCTTGCATGTATCTAAATTTGATTTTTTTTTAACAGAGTCTCGCTGTCTTGCCCAGGCTGGAGTGCAGTGGTGCGATCTTGTCTCACTGCAACCTCTGCCTCTTGGGTTCAAGCGATTCTCATGGTTCATTCTCCTCAGTAGCTAGGATTATAGGCATGTGCCACCTTGCCTGGCTAATTTTTGTATTTTTGGTAGAGACGGGGTTTCTCCATGTTGTATAGGCTTGTCTGGAACTCCTGGCCTCATGCGATCTGCCCACTTCAGCCTCCAAAAGTGCTGGGATTAGAGGCCTGATTTTTTTGTTAAAAGCAATATGTGCTTAATGGAAAAAAATTGGGAAGTATTGCAAATAATAAACAAATTGAAAATCATCACCCTTAATCTTACCAATAAGGAGACAATGATTATTGCTTTTTTTTTTTAACATTTCCTTTTAAAAAAATGTACATTTTAAGCATAATCAATATTATATAATAGAGGCAGACTGATTAATTTTTACTAATTTTAATAAACATTGGCTGTGAAGTGGTCTGGTAGCTTCCTACTTCTCTCTTTTGACCACTGGGGGCAGGACTTTGCTCCTTAACCATGTGTCAGTACATTAATGTTTAGTCTTACTAGTTAATTATCAGGAAAACATAAACCATTTTTAGTGATCAACCAAACTGTGTTTAAAGATTAGTTGAAAAGATAGATGATGATGATAATTTTTATATAATTCAACAAGAAAGCAGTGCATTTAAAAAATGAAAATGAAAGGCCGGGTGCGGTGGCTCACGCCTGTAATCCCAGCACTTTGGGAGGCTGAGGCGGGCGGATCATGAGGTCAAGAGATCGAGACCATCCTGGCCAACATGGTGAAACCCCATCTCTACTAAAAATACGAAAATTAGTTGGGCGTGGTGGTGTGTCCCTGTAGTCCCAGCTGTATGTGAGGCTGAGGCAAGAGAATCACTTGAGCCTGAGAGGTGGAGGTTGCAGTGAACCAGTATCATCCCACTGCACTCCAGCCTGGTGACAGAACAAGACTCTGTCTCAAAAAAAAAAAGAAAGAAAGTTTAGGTTTTTAAAATGCCATTTAAAAAATAAAACCAGAGTGATCCCCTGACTGGCCGGGTTAGAGCATCAGGAACAGCCTAAAGATTAGACTGTAAGAAAAGAAAATAGAAGCCATGTTTCGAAGACCTGTATTACAGGTACTTCATCAGTTTGTAAGACATGCGTCCGAAACAGCTGCCACTTTGATTCTTGAAAGATCCCTGAATCATGTGCAGTTACTTGGGCGAGTGGGTCAGGACCCTGTCTTGAGACAGGCGGAAGGAAAAAATCCAGTCACAATATTTTTTCTAGCAACAAATGAGATGTGGCGATCAGGGGAAAGTGAAGCTTACCAAATGGGCCATGTCAGTCAAAAGACAACGTGGCACAGAATATCAGTACTCCGGCCAGGCCTCAGAGATGTGGCATATCAGTATGTGAGAAAGGAGTCTCGAATTTATGTGGAAGGGAATATAGACTATGGTGAATACATGGATAAAAATAATGTAAGGCGACAAGCAACAACAATCATAGCTGATAATAATATATTTCTGAGTGACCAGACAAAAGAGAAGGAGTAGAATGGATGACTCTTCTTTGGCTGTCATTTGGTACAGTCTCATTTCCAAATCATGTATAATCCTTATAGTTCCCAAGGACAAGAATTAAAATACTCTTTTACATATAAATAAATAAATAAATAAATAAAACCAGGGCTGGGCATGGTGGCTCATGCCTGTAATCCCAGTATCCCAGCACTTTGGGAGGCCAAGGTGGGTGGATCATGAGGTCAAGAGTTCGAGACCAGCCTAGCCAACATGGTGAAACCCCATCTCAACTAAGAATACAAAAATTATCCGAGTGTGGTGGTGGGGGCCTGTAATCCCAGCGACTGGAGGCTGAGGCAGGTGAATTGCTTGAACCTGGGAGGTGGAGGTTGCAGTGAACCGATATTGTGCCATTATACACCAGCCTAGACGACAAAGCAAGACTCTGTCTCAAAAAATAAATATATAAATAAATAAAACCAGATTTCCCTCATGAAACATAAGATAAGGAGCCAAATTTCTTTCTTGAAGAATCTCAGGACTAATTTGACTTCATGATGAGCTGTCATAACTTTTTTATTTGTTATGCCATCAGAAATCCTCCCTGTGGCACAAAGGACTCCTTTAATTAGAAAATATTGTTGCCACAGGGAGGTAGAAGATCGACATGAAAAACTGGGGATCTGAAAAAGGAGCCCCTATCCTAGGATTACCTGAAGGTGAAACAGATTGAGCCAGAAGGAAGACAATGCTGGTAGGTTGGTTTTTAATTTACTAAGAATGTTTATAATTTTATATTTCATTAAAATTATTTCATCTACCTTTACCATATTTTTCTTTAAAGGGTGACAATGATTCCTCCTTAAGAAAGGAGAAGTAATACAATAATATTTTTCCTCCCAGTTTGCTGAGTTAACCCTTGCCATGTTCTTAATATTTGTTTCTTTTTATAGATAAAGCTCTGGGGTTAGTTATTTCATGCCTCTATTTCCTTAGATGGTACTAATGACCGAACATATTTAAGGCATTTTTTTGTGTGTGTCATTCCTGTTATTTTTGCTTCTAATCCACATCTTTTCCTAAATTTTTAAAAAGTGTTTTACCCCCAGTTATTTATTTTCTTGAGGTTAGCCTAGACTTAAGTTTTCTGAAATGGTAAAATGTGAATTGTAAGTTCATTTAGTTTTTATTCTAGAATTGTTGGAAATGTAATTGTACTGTGATTTAGATCAGACAGTATTATTAGAGAAAAATTTTTAATACTTTAATAACTATCGCTGGGCATAGTGGCTCAAGCCTGTAATCGTAGCACTTTGGGAGGCCAAAGCGGGTGAATCACCTGAGATCAGAAGTTCAAGACCAGCCTGGCCAACTTGGCAAAACCCCAGCTCTACTAAAAAATACAAAAAATTTGCTGTGCGTGGTGGTGGGTGTCTGTAATCCCAGTGACTTGGGAGGCTGAGGCACTAGAATCACCTGAACCCAGAAGGTGGAGGTTGCAGTGAGCCGAGATGGCTCCACTGCACTCCAGCCTGGGCAACAGAGAGAGACTCCATTTTAAAAACAATCAAACAAACAATTTCGTTTAGCCTAAGATGCTGTCAATTGTAAGAAACATTATTTTTATACCACTAAAGGAAAATTGCTGACAACTATGAACTTTAGGAGACTATCAGTTTTAAGATATCTACTGATTCCAGAGAGATGTCAAATATGAAAAAATGTGTCTTAGGATTAATGAAATATGGTTTGCAATTATGAATCTTTCCTGAAACTCTCATTTACTAGGAATTAAACGTTAAAATATGAGGCTTATGAAAAATGGGGGTGAGTTGTAGTATGGAAATCCACATGAGTGCCGAGTATGCGCCCTAAATTCATTTTTTTTTGCTCTGTCTCCAAGTTGCAGTGCTGTTGTGCGATCTTGGCTCACTGCAACCTCCACCTCCCAGATTCAAGCGATTCTTCTGCTTGAGCCTCCCAAGTAGCTGGCATTACAGGTGTGCACCACCACACCTGGCTAATTTTTGTATTATAGTAGAGACGGGGTTTCACCATGTTGGCCAGGATGGTCTCGATCTTCTGACCTCATGATTCGCCTGTGTTAGCCTCCCAAAGTGCTGGGATTACAGGCCTGAGCCACTGCACCCAGCCTCTAAATTCTTTAATATCTTTTAAGAGAAGATATTTAAATAAAAAAATTATATAACTACACATTGTTTAAAATTATACAGAATAACCATAAGGTATCAGATTATGGAATGTATAGAAAAAGAAAATGTATTTTAATATGACATACTTACTTCAATAGAGTGTTATCCTAATTGAACATCACTTAATTAGAAATTCGAGATCTAAAAAGAAAATGAAATGAAGCTTCTGCTTTTTATTTATTTATTTATTTATTTATTTATTTATTTATTTTGAGACGGAGTTTCACTCATGTTACCCAGGCTGGAGTGCAATGGCGTGATCTCGGCTCACCGCAACCTCTGCCTCCTGGGTTCAGGCAATTCTCCTGCCTCAGCCTCCTGAGTAGCTGGGATTACAGGCACACACCACCATGCCCAGCTAAT